ACCGTCACTTCCGTCAACGGCATCGACGGGTAGTCTATGGTCTCATGTGATCCACACTTTATGCTCCCGTAGTATAACGACTTCCGGAGCCTATAGTCCAGCGACGAGTGATTCTTCATTGTCTGCGCGAAACACATGACATTATAATTGGATTCAATTGAGTGATCATTGAGTGGTAAACAGACATCGCGTGTCAATACATACATTGAAATGACGGCTCATTTTGGACGATTTCACGCAATTGTCGGTCATTTGAATAGTCATTGAAATCTCGCATCAAATCGTAATCAACAATGAAATCAATACTCAATTCATTGACTCATTACTCAGTTATGACGACAACATCGCATCAAACGCCACATACAGTCACACAGACCTCTCGTCTCCACACATGCGCTACACTCGCGCCGCAAGTCCGCACATATTCCCAACTATTCCCACATTTTCACAAATATTCCCCAGTATTCTGTATATTCTTATGGTATAAAATTATTTTTATAATTTGAATAGTCTTTAAATTGATCCTGGTCACTTTCTATTAAATATTCTGACTTTATCTCATAGTTATTACTATACTGGGAATTGATGGGGAATATGTACGCAATTATGTTGTACTCCACAATATTAGGTAGGAATTTGCATATTAATATAATATCACAGAACTGGTCATAAAAAGCGTTACATATTTAGTGGGAATATATTCCTAATTATAGTGCCATTTATGCCACAAAACAATTAATTCTGTAAACTATAGTTAATTGATTTGACACACCATACGAGAATTAAATGCCACAAAATATACATGTAGTCACCATATATGGTGTATAGTTTAGTATGTGTTGAATATTATCAGAATACATAGAATGATCGTACGATTATGCAAGTGTGTGATTATGACTGCTCATTTTATGTGGCAAAACTTGCGGAACAGGGAGTATAGCCTACATTGACTGCCATTCCATGAGAAACAGTCTTAAAAACAGTGGGAGTATTGTCTGACTGAGTGGGCATACGATCGCCGCATAACATGAGTCTGTATTCAATGTATGCGACAATCAATTGACAGACAATTTGTTTGACAATCACTTCAATTGTATTGAATTTTGTGCTATAATTGTATTTGTGGTGAAGTTAACAAACTGTGGCCACTATTATCACTGCCAACCACTCTCTGTTGACACTATCACCATAACTGATCCATTAGAACTTTGGTCATTAAGTGTAAGTTTATGTAACTAATCATAACTTTGTGTCAATTTTAGTATTTTGTCGCATATTTTTTAATTGAATTTTATTTTAACATGTATTAATTTTAATAACTTTCATTTATATAAAGCAGCAAGGTCATTATAAAATTTTGTTTAGTCTATAACATTGATGATTTTATGCGAAATCCAATGAATTCGCTGGTTTTTAAACAATTAAACAAAACTTGTAACTATTTTAAAAGTTATCAAACTTTATGATGCATTTAATTATTATAACTAATTAACAAACTCTAAATATTTATAAATTATGTATAGTTTTCAGCTAGGTTATTAAATAGTTATTGGTTGTACACACACTTTCATAATTAGACAATTTCTATTATTTGGAAATATAACCCTGTTCATTTAATATAATTAATATACTATCTTGCATCATATTAAATAAGAGCTTTATAAACTGTAATATCAAAATTACTGCCAGACCTTGATAATTACTGTATTTTTTACACCTTTCTAAACTAAATATTTAATTTCCAATTCACAGCATAAAAGTGTTGCGTTTAAAAGGCAAACCAAATGTTAGCTTAATTTTCCCTTCAAATAATGCACTCGTATTTGTGTGCAATTGTGTGCAACAAAAATAAAAGTTTTCATTTCAAGTGACATTTTACTTAAAAATTTAAACAACTTTTTATTATAATCAAATGAAGCAATACACCTATTAATATTCATATACAATAATGTAAATCAATAATTTGGTTAATTGTATGGGTTTCATGTGATTAGCAAACACTTATAATTGTAATTTTTTGAACTTTCAATAATTTGTTATAACATTATAACATTGTTTAACAAGAATTGACCCTCATCACCTACACATTCCTTATGCATTTACTTGCTTAATATTACCTAACTGGACTATTAATTTATGTAACTCTTATATTAATAAACAAGTAAGTTATACCACCTGTATAGCATCGATGTATAGCTCAATCCACTGTTTAGTGGTTTAGTGGTCATGAGGGTAATCCCCTTTAGGGAATACCACTAAATAGAGCACAAAAATCCTCACCTGGAGTTCACTTGAGTACATGGAAATGGATTGTAAGGTTGAAGTGTGAGTGCCCTCATAATAGTGTCATATTTCCCCTCATATTCACTCGAATACTAACCCAGAGATTCCTGACCTTCATATACAGTAGATTTGAAGGCTAACACTAATTGATTGCAATTTAATATCACACCAAATGTTTTATTTTTATACCAATTTTTATCATTTTTTCTAATATACTATTTAACCCTTTGTTTTAATACTAAACACTTTATTAATATTAAGTTAGCATTGAAATTATATGAATGAGAGGTACTGTATTATTGTCACAGAATCTGTGTTTTTATAAAGTATATACAGTTATATGAAATGTTAAAACTTGACAAACGGGGAAAATATATATTAATTTGTCTAGAATTGCATAATCTTATGCATTGAGATATAAAAAAGCATAAATTCATTGATACGACCTTATAATATATCAAAGTTTTTACCAATGTTTCATCAATTTTCAATTTTAGCCACTTTTTTAATAACACTTGTTTAGTTTAGCAATTACTTCAGGGTCTATTTTGCGGATTACATTTGCATTTATTATTGAAGTTCTTGTGATGTACGCAAAATTTACGTAATCAGGGTTTACGCTGACGTATTGTATAATTAACAAATAAATATTTATAAAAGTCTATTTACAAGTAATAATTGACTGACTAGTGAGAATAATTATTTTCTAATAGTTCACAAATAATAGTAAGCATGATTTTATTGTACTATTAAACAATAATTTGTTATTTAACTTATAATATTATTAAAGTACCTGTATGCTCAAATGATTAAATAATTTATTACAACAGTTAATAATCCATTAGCGTGTTTGGGGAATGCCTTTAATTGGTTTACAATCAATAATAATTATTAAAAATATAATATTCCTAAAGTTTTTAATTAAAATTATCGAATTTAATATTATCTATTAACTTTGTTAAATTAAATTTAAATTGATTGAATTAACTGTATATTTGGTTATAAGGAAATGTCACAGAATCACTGGTTCGTTAAGCAACAAATAACCACATTATTATCTTATAAATTAAAATCTTTATAAATCAAAAATAAATTTGTATTTAACATTTGGAGACAGTTACAAAATAGTTGCAAATTGAAAGCATAAAATAAATTTTAAAATAGAAAACATCATTCGATTTAAATTGATATAAAAATACTTTCAATGTTATGATTATCAATATGTTTACGAGACTAACATATTTATCGCATTAAGAGTCGATATGTTTGTACTAATTAACTAGTGTTTGATTTGTGTTGTATTAATTTGGTATTAGATTTAAATGGTAAAAATGGATACAAATAACGGTACCGAGGAGTCCAAACTAATGTGGAGGCCCGGGATGTTTGGCACCACGAAAATGGATGTGTTCCGAGAGTTGATTAACAAAAAGTTTAGCCTAAAGTTGACCACATATTCAGATCTCTATAACTGGTCGGTCGATAACTATTGGGACTTTTGGGAGCAGTTCTGGAGTTTCGCGAATATAATGCATTCGAGTCCTTACGAGAGAGTTGTGGACAGGACTAAGGGAATCGACGAAATTCCCGAATGGTTTGTCGGCTCTAAACTCAATTACACCCGAAATGTGTTGGAAAAGGTGGACAACAGTGACCCCAACAAAGTGGCCCTCTTTGTGGTCAATGAGCACAACACTGACGTCCAAAGAGTCACTTTTGGACAAATGAAAGCTCGCGTCACGGCATTGGTCTCCGCCATGAGAAAGTGCGGCATAACTGCTGGCGATAGAGTTGTCGGTAAATGATCCGGTTCATTCATTATTTCTCATAAATTCATATGTAAATTAATACAATTACATATTTATCAAACAATTTGTAAATTCCTCAAACTTTTCCTGTTTTTAACAAAAGTATTCATTTCAAGGAAGATATTAATTAAATTATTACATAAAGTCCAAACACTTATGCAATATATACTGTACTTTAAAAATAACAATTTATTGTACTTTAAAAATACAATTTATTTTAATATTCTCTGTTACAAAATGATGTAATAATACTGTATATATATTTTTGTAAATTTGAATCTCAGGTTATTTACCGAATGGAAGGGAGGCTGTGGAGGCATTCCTGGCCACGTCAGCCATCGGTGCCATTTGGAGCTCCACATCACCTGACTTCGGAATCTCGGTATTTAGTTTACACAATCATTATAATCTCATTGAAAATATATAACAATCGCACGAATTTCAGGGAGTTTTGGAAAGATTGCGACAAATTAAGCCTAAAATGTTGTTTTCAGTCGATTGTGTCGTCTATAACGGGAAGCGTCACAACCATTTGGAAAAGTTATCTCAACTCATGAGTTCGCTTCAGTCATTAAAACGAGTCATTATATCGCAACTCGAAGTGTCCGATAATAATAACAACCAATTAAGTGAAGTACTGAAAGCACCGGAATGTTGTACTTTAGAGCAGTTCCTATCGGAAGCCGAGCCTCTAAAAGCCATCGATTACTTCGAGGCCTCATTCAGTCATCCGCTTTGCATTCTGTTTAGTTCGGGAACTACTGGTGATCCCAAATGTCTGGTCCACTCGGTTGGAGTGAGTCAACCATTAGTTTGAAAATAGATTCGTTGACTAATTAATTCATATGATCAGGGAACTTTAATACAACACTTAAAGGAGCACATACTGCACGGAAATATGGACTCCAATGACATTATGTTGTTCTATACGACTGTGAGTTTTGTTCATTAATTATCATTTGATATTAAGTCTACTGACATATACCAGACGGGTTGGATGATGTGGAACTGGATGGTGTCAGCCCTGGCGACCGGCGCTGCTATTGTTCTTTTCGGTTAGACTTGAAAACAAAAGTTTTAAAAATAAAAACTAATTTAAATGTTAATGAATTCATTGAACAACAGACGGATCTCCTTTCAAACCGACTGCCACTGCGATATGGGATGTAATCGACAGAATCGGTGTTACGATTCTCGGGACGAGTCCTAAAGGGCTTCAAACCATGGAAGAGATGGGACTCAGACCTAAGAACTCTCATAAACTGGACAGACTTCACACAATTTTGTCTACCGGCGCTCCATTGAGCCATAAGTCATACGAATACGTTTACGAATCCATTAAAACAGATGTATTGCTCGGCTCTATATCTGGTGGTTCGGACATAATCTCATGTTTCGCGGGACAAAACCCCACAATTCCCGTGCATTCAACGGAAATTCAGGCCCGGAATCTGGGAATGGCTGTCCAGTGCTGGGATGCCACAGGTTTTAGAACATTATTACGATTGGTTTTATAAATTAAAAATTGTCGAAATCAATAGGAAAAGATGTGCGCGACCAAAAAGGGGAACTGGTGTGCGTACAACCATTCCCTTCCATGCCTACAATGTTTTGGAATGATCCCAATGGAGACAAATACAGGAACGCCTATTTCTCACACTTTAAAGGTTTTATTATTTATATCAGTTTAAGAAATATAGTAGTATACAAAGTATTTATATGTGCAAACATAATGAAATATTACTGACAGAATTTAAAAAGTTTATATCTTGGTCATAATTAAACGCCTATTGAAAATGCATTTATTTCTTACAGTGCTATACAGTGCATGCATTAATTCAATTCTACATGTATATCCTAAGATTGAGTAAAACACTATTAGTGTTCACCTTAATTACAAATAATGCATACATTTACATTGGAGTTTACATATTTTTATATGATTCTAAGGATTTTTTTAAATTCTAATATTTAGTCATTAAAATCATTGGATAAACTTTACTACATAAAATCAACCACAGAATCACATAGAATTACAGAATTAGTAATTATTAATTACCGTAGATTGCTTCCAATCGGAATAACTAAAATTTATGCTTGATTATTATAAGGATTTATATTGAAATAGTATTGCACTATATGGACAGGTGTATGGACTCATGGAGATTTTTGCTTAATAAATGGTGAGACGAATGGCATTCAAATGTTGGGCAGAAGTGATGGCACATTGAACCCAAATGGGGTCCGATTCGGGAGTTCAGAGATTTACGGTGTAATGGATTTAGTGGATGAGGTGGACGACAGCGTATGTGTCTCGCAGTATAACCGCAAGAATGAGGAAAGAGTTGTATTATTCTTGAAACTCAAAGACAAACACAAATTCACGTCAGAACTCGTGTCGAGAATCAAAGCCTTAATAAGAGATCGATTGTCGCCCCGACACGTGCCCAGTGTTATCACCGAAGTGCCAGATATTCCCGTAAGAAAACACTCGCGAGTTATTCAGAATTGATGTGATAATCATATTTTCATTTTAGTATACAATTAATGGCAAGAAGATAGAGGTGGCCATCAAAATGATAATCGCCGGCAAAGAGGTGTCCAATAAGAATGCGATCGCAAACCCGGAATCTCTCGAATTCTTTAAGAATCGAAAAGAGTTAGAAAATTATTGAATGAATTGAGTTAAATATATTTTTGTAATATAAATGTTATTAATATTATTAATAAAATTGGTTTTTAATTTGCAATATTTTCTGAAGTAATTCTTATGACTTATAGAATTGAGTTAAATGTTTTGAAATACTGGCAGTAAATGAAGTAATTGTCAATATTGCTGTAATACTATAGACATACTGTAGTAGTACGGTAACTTATGTTGTGTACAAATTATCATCGTAAGTTATAATCGTGTCTTAAGTGTTTGGAAAAATCTAGATTTTAGAAACTAGATAAACACATCATACACGTTAAAAACATCAGGACATATTCGAGGGCCTTTGGGTGCATTGAGTGAATATATGCGACAGACATTATCGCAGTATTTCACAAGAATTTATGTTATGTTACCCTAATGCCAATTTGGTAATGTCAAACCGCATGTGAGTAAAAAAATAATGATTACATGTGATTACTTAATGTCACTTATATAAACTGTAAGATACTAATTATATGATATTTTGTCAATTAAAAACATAGTTTTATTATCAAAGGGTTACTTTATAGAGTAAAATATTGAAATATAGACTTTGTAATATAGATTCTCGAGGGCATAACTGTAATATTCTTTGTAATAATTTTGTATTCTTATCTAGTTATTAGATTTAGTGTTGGCTATCTACCTAATGATTTGTACTATAGGCACTAAATGTATCATGTTGCAATTATAGTAAAGTATTTCTTAAAGAAAAATAATTTTAAAAATAATTTTACCATAATATGAAAATTCTTTACCTAAATAAAATAGTAATACAGGTAATTTAATTAAGTCAATTATTAGACATGCGATACAATTTGTACAGTATTATGAAGTTTAACCAAAAGTAACATAACTTACTAAAGTATTTTTTAAATGAAAAAATTAGGTTAATAAAAGTTTCATAATTAAATATTATACAGTACTGTATCAGCATATTAAAAGTTTGATAAGAATTTGAAACCTGAGTTGACTTTGAATTTCTATTTACATTTCCTTTTAAATATAAATTACATAATTTTCATTTTTGTTAATCTAACTTGTCTCAATTATTAAATT